AAAAAAAAAAAAAAAAAAAAAAACACATCATAGTAAAACTAATACCTTCTCAGCTTCGCATCGAAGCTAAAAATTATAAAACTACATGTTATTGTTGAGTTTTTTAATTAAACAATATTTTCCTTTACAAAAATTTTAAATATTCAAGTTTTTGAGAAAATGAGTGTTTTATCGATCACTGCATATTTTATATTTAATAATTTTTAAGTCTTAAATTGATTTGACATTTTTTATCATACTATAAGAGAATCCATTGTATATTGTGAATCTTAAATTATTATTAAATTAATAATAAGTATAACATTAATTAGATTTAATTTTATGTAGATAATTAATACTACAAGCTTATGGGACAAAATTGAAGATACCAATGTTGTTCGATGTAACGATGAAAACATAGGCATTGAACCGTCCTCTTGTTACTGTTAAATGTAATAATATAAGTCATTGTTGGACTATACAACAATTAATATGTATTAAAACATATATCCATGATAATTTATAAATAACTAAATAATTGTAAAGTGTTAATAATTAATCTTTTATGTATAAAGATCTATTTGATAAAAAATCAATTTTTTCAAGTATTTAATTAATATCATGTAGATGATATTTGTACATTTTTAGATGTGATCATGCCTCTTCCATTTTCAGTGTAATGAATATTGAAACAAAAATAATGATTTTTATTGACTCCGCGTTTCTCTATCTGGCTCTGTTTACTTTTAATATTGTGTTTCTATAATTATAATTACTATTATTTTTCATGTTTATGATGATAAAGTCATTACATAATTGAATCATGAAAGTTGAAATACAAAAACACTTTTAAATACTTCTTGTTATAAAGTAATAATATATTTTTGTAAATAGAAATCTCTTAAAAAAAAAAAATTATCAGAGTAAATATAATAAAGCACAACAATGGTTAACATTTTATGAAGTAATTCATTTTTATAAAAAGTAATTTATAAACTAATGTATCTATTGAATGTAACAAATATATATATAAATATTCATCTCCATAAATATTTTTAAGTTTATTTATAAAAAATATTTTCAAATTGCAATATAAATTTCATACAATTATTAGAAAAATTATAAAGACAAAACAATATCACAAAGTAACTTAATCGCATCTGTTAATATGTAAAATACATCAATTTTTCTAAAATATCAATATAAAAGTTATACTTTATATGAATGAAAAAAAACAATTAAAGGTAAAATGTATTTAGTAATAATTTAACTGAATTTATGTTATAGTAAAAATACCTTAATTTAATAAATTACAGTCACATAGTATATTTTGGTAAAAACTTCAGTGAATTTGATTATGTTAAACATATTCACGGATGAAATTTATCTAAGAATATTCATAAAGTTATAGTACTGAGAATCATCATCAAAAAAAAAAAAATATTCAATGTTACATACTTGTTAATAGATATTTCAATAATATATATTAAATATAATTTATTTATGACTAACATAAAGCTATGTAGTAGGAAAGGAAATTTAGAATTATGTTAGATTAATAATAATTTCTATAAACTCTAAAACAGAATAATGAGAGATATAAAATAAAGTTTTGTTAATTATAACTACTAAATTTTATTGAATCATTTTATTGAATCATTTTTTTCAATTAAAGTATTAATAAATGTAAAAGAAAATTGTTTCATTGTATTATAATTAGACTAAATCAATCAAAAAATTAATTGACCAAATTGTAAACAAATAATATAAATATTAATTTTATTAATATAAAATTATATAAAAAATTCTGGAGTATACATTTTTTTTTAATTATAAACTATTTAAAAAAATTTAATATTCTATCCTAAAAAACAATTTAACAATAAGCTATATTAGATAATATATTTATATCATGCATAATATAATTTTTATCATTGATAATAAATTATTTTTAATTATATTTATATTACAAAAATTGATTTGTTTATTATTTTACATATACTTATATAATAAAAAAAAGTTGGATGGAATCAATTTTAATGCTAAAATTACTAAATAAATTAATAACAATTAAATTATTATAATAATAATAATAATAAATTAATTGCACATAAAATAATTTTTTTTTATAAAAACAAAAATAAAAGCAGTGCAACACTAGATAAATTATAAGTAAAAAAATTTAAAATGGAATGCTGATTTATTTAAAAATAAAATAAAATTGAAATGGTACTTGGTGGGATAATCTTATTTGATTATGTATTATCTTATGATTGTTGTTGCTGTTGTATTTCAATTTTCTCCACTGTCATATCTGGATTCATAGCAGTTGCTTCTTGAATAGCATCAGCTAATGCTTTATCATGATCAATCGGATCACCATCACTTTGAATTGTTATTTTTTGTTCAACTCTAGTTTCAACCACACCATCTTTTTCCGTTTTGTACTTTACAAAATTTGAAAAATAAATACCAATTAACAATAAGTTACAATTATTATCAAAATAAATATATATTTAATGTAAATGTAAATAAAATACTTACAGTCACAGTTTCAACAGTTCTAGTTTTACTTGAGATAGCTTGTGTTGATACAATTTCACCAGTAAGTGTATAGGATTTGTCATCAGATGTAATATTAACATTATGTCGTTCTTCAGCTGAACTTGTTGTATTAGCCGTCACATTTTCAGCTTTATATTCATCCTATAGAAATGTTTAAATATTAATAAATTGTTTACTTCAAAATTATTTTTGTAGTGTAATTAACATAAAAAGTACCTGAAAACTATTGTTATAAAAACCTAGACCTTTTAAATCTTCAATGGGTCCTTCAATGTCAATTGGGGTACCTGAATCATTTGAGCTAAGACTTGAACTACTAGAACTTCTACTCAACTGTTTCATGCAATAACAAACCAAAACACATTAACATGCATAATAAAATAAGTATTCTGTATAATAGAACTAAATATATTAATAAATTATTTAATTCAATTTTTAACAATTTAAATTAAATTTTCATACTCAGAACTTTTTGCTTATTGAAAAATATTAACAAGGTGTTTAAGTTATTAAATTATACTAGACAAATAACATTTAGTTGACTAAACAGCTATAGTTTTGGAAATAATAGAAAAATGGTTTTTATATTTGGATAAATTAAAATTAATTTTTTTTAAAATAGTACTCTTAACTTAATATATTTCAAATATTCACCTCTTTTTTTGTTTCTGGTGCAAGAATTGTTGATGTTGATATAACTTCTTGAGTAACTGTTCTTTGTTCTTGTCTAGTACCACTGGTGGTAGTTGTATGAGCAACAGTTTTCTCTTCAACCTTAAGAAAAAGTAAAACATAATTATTTGAAATATTAACTTTAATGATTGAAATATTTTAAATTATAAATACCTGACTTGTCTTTGAATTTTTTTCTAAATTTTGATGAGTTGTGGCTGTACGTGTAGTAACTGCAGTTGCTTTTACATAAGGAGGCCTACCAGTAGTAACATCTATACCTTCAGCCTAAATGTAAAAAGCATAAAAACATGCAAAATAAAAATCAAACACATGCAATGTTAAGCTACTCTTACTTTATTCAGTTGTGTCGATACAGTGACTTCACCAGAGTTTAAATCTTCTACTTTCTCTTCAATATTTTGAGTAACACCTTCTTTATCTTTAATCATAGTTTGTTTAGTAGTTGTTTTAACAATAAGAGGTGCATTACCAATTCCTATAGGTTTTACATCGTTATCAGTATTCTTCTTTTCATTTTCAATGAAGTTGGCAGTGTCTTTTTTGATATCAGGCTCGTGTTTACTTTTACTAAGTGAATTAATTTTATCCATTGCTTTTTCTAATACACCTTTACTATCTTTTGACTTTTTTGAAATAAATCCTGATTTTGAATCGTTAAATTTTTTTTGAACTTCAATTTTAGTTTCAGTATTTCCTGATGTAATTTTTTTTTCTAAAACTGTTTTGGTAAATTCAGGTTCACCAACTAGTTTATTATTAATAGGAATACTTGAATTTTTTATATTTAAATCAGTCTTAAAGTCTTTATTAGCTTCATTAACTTTTATCGCTTCATTTGTTAATAAAGTTTTATTCTTTAACTCCATTTTTGTACCATCATTTTTAATATCTTTACTAGCTGTTTCTTCAACTCTAACAGCAGATTGTACATAATTAATCCCTGGTGTTTTAATACCTTCATTACTAACTGTTTTTTCCATAAAGGTTCTACGTTTTTCAGCAGCAGTTTCTGCAACTTTTTTTCCTTCTCCTGGTGCATAATTGAAAGCTAAGCCTTGAGCTTTTTTGCTAGGGGATGCGGGTATAACAGTAATACTTTCTTTTGAATTTTGAGTATTATTTTCATAGGTAAACCCACCAATTGGTTTTCGTTTTTTAGAAATTGCTTGTTCATCTTCTGTGTAATCATAAGCTTTAGTAAAACTAGGAGAAGTGGAAATAGCAGGAACATTTACAGTAGTTTCACCCATTGATCGATCAGCAAATGTTGCATTGGATGATGTAGTACTGTTTATAGATTTAAGACTTGATTTTGAGTCTTTTATATTTTTTTTTAAGTCATTTTTTGTTTTAAGTTTAAATTTATCCAATCCTTTTGGTGATTCAGGTTCACTACTGATATCTAAGTTAGCACTGGCTTTTAATTTATCTTTAGACTTTTTTGATTTCAAACTAAAACTGCTAAAAATTCCTCCAGGACTCTAAGGGAGAATAAAGAACATTATTTAAGCCATTTATATGTTTCTATCCAAACAAATTTTTAGTAAATATACACAATTAGTAACTTCATACATTCTGATTTCTTTAGAATAAATTACTTAATGTTTTCCGTAGTTCAGACAGGATTTTTATTTAAATTTTTTATTTAATTAAACCAATTCAATAATACAATGAATGAAAAAAATATGAGGTTTATCTTAACCACCCTGTATATATGTATACTTTCATATTTTTATAGAATTTTTAAACAGTCACAGTCACACTTAAACAAAACATACATATACTAAACTAAATGATTCACAAA